GTATTCTGTGTTGTTGCCGGCAGAGCTCTTCACTGCACTTCCACCAGATCCGCCATCTTTAATGGTTGAGTCTATGCTTATATATTGATAACCTTTATGTATTGTTACTGTTATTAAGTGTTGTAGAGTCAATTCTGACTCATAATGACCCTGTATAAAGTTTCCAAGGAGTGTCAGGTGGGTTTGAAACACTGACCTTTGATTAGCAGTCCAGTGCTTATCCTACAGCAACACACCAGGACTCTGCCTTTATGTATGTTGTTGTTAAGTGCTGTCGAGCCAGTTCCAACTCATAGTGACCCTGTATAGGGTTTCTGAGGAGCAACTGATGAGCTTGAACCACTGATCTTGCAATTCAACCTGACTTTGAAGTCTAGTATATTAAACTGCAGCGCCACAATTGTAGTATAGTGTATGTCGTTGTTGTTAAGTGCTGTCGAGTCGTATCCGACCCATAGCAACCCTGCACAGAATTTCCAAGGAGCAGCTGATGAGCTTGAACTGCTGACCTTGCAGTTCAAATGACTCTGCAGTCCAGTGCATTAACCTACAGTGCCACACCAGGACTCCTGAGTGCTTAATAAATGATGACCATGTAGGGTGTTAAATGACACATTAGTTCTGGTGGAAGTATGATCCACTTAGACTGGCTGACTACATTGATCAAATGTATTTGAAGGCTGCCCAATTTTTCCCTCCAGTGCTTTCTTAGAGACTGCCTTATTTTTCCCATTATACAAATAAATATGTAAAATAATTATCAGTGGTCATATAAATTCATATGTACAATGAGGTCTCAAGAAGACAAAACCCAACACTTTACAGTGGATACAGCCTAGGATTTAACTAGGTGTAAAATGTGCCCCGTTGATGTAGGGTTCCAAAATGGTTCAGCCTGGTTCAGTCATGTCCTAAGAAACCACATTAGAATAGACACACATTTTGAAAATATGGGTGAACCAGAACAGGAAAAACTGTGGGTCAAAACCCTGCTAGAGACTTAATGTGTCTCTTAGGAACCAAGGGCAATGTGCTCAAAGATGGTGGCCAAACATGCTGCTTTGAGTGTGTACTGCTCTCCACAGAACTGGGAACAATCCAACTTCACTCACCAGGCTACTGACAGGGCTCACAACACCTCTTCCTAGACTCCCAATCCAGAACTTTAACCCATAATTTTTCCGGTTATTGCTCTGGATCATCCAAATTTTAGACATTTGATCTGTTCTGGTTTTTATTTCATTGGCCATGACTGAGCTGGTTTAAACTGGTTCAAAGCCCTGCTTCGAGGCACATTATAGTTCAAGGTTCCTGGTGTGGCGCTGTAGGATAAGCACTGGACTGAAAACCACAAGATTAGTGGTTCAAACATACCAGCTGCTCCTCTGAAACTCTAAGAGGGTTGCTATGAGTTAGAACTGACTTGATGACACTAACAACAACATAGTTCAAGTGCTGGGAGGTTTGGCAAGTGTGAGTCCTAACACCTGCTTCTCACTGCTGAGAGCACTGTGGATCTTGAAGAAGGGAAAATCCCCACAACTATTCTTTGGTTGTAGGGGCAGTTCTAGCCAAGACTGAGCTTTGTATGAATAACTTGCCATTTTGGTCATGTCAGGATCTTTTGATATTAAATGAAGGTGGCTTACAGATCCCTTATGATACTTTAGGATAAAGAGCAAAGGAAATCAGTTCACCAGAGACTAAACTGTTTTAGAAGGACCCATTTGACTCATGATGTCCTCTGGCTCCCCTGGGCATTTCCCCAGGGCCTCATTTGACCATTGCTTCAGAAAATAAGGAAAGGACATACCAAATTCCTTCCGAGGGTACTCTGGAGAAGAGTTTCCACTGGAGCTTCCTGGAAGAGAAGAAAACAGTACAAATGAGCACTTGGGCCATAAGGCTCCAAGAGAGTGATTAGTGCCTGGTTAACATCGCCAGCCTTCCATGGTTCAGGAGGAAAATGAGAGGTGCTCCTTAGCAGATGTTTCAAATGAACCTGACTCATGATTTAAAACCTGACTTATTTGTAATTTTCATTATAGTGACTTGTCTATTCCAGATGGGACAGAGTTCAAACCAAGGAAAGCTACAGTTTCTTCTTTCCTCCCTCCCTTCTGCCTAGTCTTCCTTCCTTCCTTCTTTGTTTTCTTGAGTCCTCAACTGCATTTGACCTGTAATAGAGCTACTGTGGGCAACATTTTCCCATCAAATAAATGTTGAAGGACAACACTGACATTGTGATGTTCGTCCTAAATGTGGACTCTGTTCAATGAAAATCAAGCCCCCATTCAGGCCTAACCATCAGACAGCACCGTGGGACACCACATGGAGTTTAGGCTCCAAGCATCCTTTGGCAGCTTTTCTTCTGAAACAGCGGGACAGCATCCCTGGGTCTGGGGGTTCCAGCTCACCTACACAATGTACTGGGATAGCTAAGCCTTTAATCCTGCTTCTCCCTCACAATATGCGAGGGGACTTCAAAAAATTCATGGAAAAACTCCATTATCTTTCAATTCCATTTTCCATGAACTCTTTGAAAACCCCACAATTCTTTACTCAAAATTAAATTCAGTTTGCCACATAGCTTGTCTGTTTTCCTCTAAAACTGCTCTTACAGATTACCAGGAATTCCAGTACTTGTTAGCAATGGAACTCCACAATCTTCCAGACCTCCTCCTTCCTGATCCAGAGCACGTCCAATGCTGACTTCAACAAGGAGGATGGTGCATGTTCCTGGTCTCCTTTTTTCTCGCTCGATTCTCTGGCTTTTCATCCTCCTTTCCCCAGTTTTATCTTTCTTTGTTTCCTCCTGTGTTGATACTCTCATCCTTGGAAAACTCTTTCATTCCCCTGACTTTCACTAATCTCTTTGTGAATGAGTCCCAATATTCAAGCAATGTTGAGTCCATGAAAGAAATGATAGAGGAGTGGAAAGAAAGGTTAGGGGGCAGAAGCAGGTGAACTTAGTGGCCAAACAAAGGATGAGTGATGTTCCATGGGGGCAAGAATGAGTCTTGTCTACAGTTTGTGAGACTCATACCTTCATAGGCTCCATGACGAGTGACGTTAGTTTTCCTTTCAAAGGTTGAACCTGGTGAATTGGGCAGAGTCGAGGCAGGTGAATGAGCCCTCCTGTAACTGGAGGTAGAGGCATTGCCTCGGGTGCTTCCACCTACAAGTGGGGAGAAGCATAAATCCTCATAGTACTTCATCAGAGATGAATCAATAGCTGTTGAAATCCAGTGACTAGCCAAGTACACTCAGGCTGCCCATGACTAAAGGACAGTTCTATAGGAGGTGTCAGGGAAGGCCAGAGGAGCACAATTTTAAAGGTCACTGTCCCATGGCTGCTCAGACATGTTCCTGCCCTGCCCAAACAGACCACTGAAAGACAGGGATGTCTTTTATGTATGTGGTTACAGTGCATGGAAGTGGAGAGGAATCAGCAAGGATTTTCCGGGGGATCTAGCATTTAACTGAAGATTACTGCTTGGATGGATTAGAATATAACCAGATGTGAAGGTGCTCCTCAATAAATAAGGGCCAACCTGGCCATTATGTTTGGATTTTCTGTATTAGTTCCACACTAAAGATTTAAAAAATGGTTTCAAGGATTACGTGTGTGCTTGTTTTTTGCCTTGCATCACTATGTTTTGTTTTAGTTTGAAAGCTACCATGAAAGAATGGGTTGCATTGGCAACAATGGAGCTGTGTTGGATGCTAGCCTGGTGGAAATTTGCACAATGTGGGATCACATGTCACCAGATTCCCTTAGAAAACTAACCCAATCCTTAGATTTCTTTTGTTGTTGGTTTTTTAGTTCAAATTATAAATCTTCAGACATGCACGCCCTTACGCCCTTCTCTACAGAGATGGATTAAAGAGACAGATTCAGTGGGAAAACAGTCATCTCCCCATGATGCTTTCTTAATTAATTATGGTCATTTCTGTTGGGGACTTAATGGGAATTGATCTTATTTAATTGATCACATCAAATATTGATAATTCAATAATAGCACTCTCCCTGGGTTGTTCTTCATTTGGAGGCTTTGGGGCATTTGGAACGGATGATAAGCAGCTGTAATTGTCCCTCTTCTCCCACCGTTATAAGACACCATTTGCCCCACCTCCTTTGCGGGACTTTCTCTCCCTCTGACCAATGACACTTACTTGAGTTTATGTAGCCACTGCTTCCATGGGTCAGGCTCTGTTTCTCCAGCCGGCTCCCTCCACCAAGAGAGCCTGTCTTAGAGTAGCCATTGCTGGTCCCCCCTTCTGCCAGAAAGGAGAAACAAGTGACAATTTAAAGGTGAGGTCAGGCCAGCAGGTCTCCATGTCTCCTGGCCTCTGGAAGTCTTTCCTCACTTTCCACCCAGGTTACTCTCCATCTGGGAGCTTTTCCCCAGGGTTGTTTTCCCTACACTGTAAGGTGCAAGCTGCTAAGCTCTAGTTTCGGTTGTTTTTAATACAGATGTCAAGAGTGACTACTCCACCGTGTAGAAAAAGAAATTCTTCTGGGTGCAGCTTAGCTAGTTGTTCATTGTTGTTGTTACATTGAGTCATTTCTGACCCATAGCTACCCCATATAGGGTTTCTAAGGAACAGCTGGTAGGCTTGAACCGCTGACTTTGTGTTTAGCAGTCCAGCACTTATCCACCAGGATAAGTTTAAATATTAGGAAAGTTTAAATATTAGAAAAGGGAGCTGAGCAATGGAAAGCTCCTCGAGGCCAGGGCCTTTGTTGAGCTTGTTTTGTTTTTTCAAATATCTAGTCAATGTTCCGGACATGGCTGAAGACAGGGACCAGTAAGTTGTGGATTGCTAGCGCTCTATCTGGCAGGCCATTACTTCTCTAATCTCACCTGATGCTGGGCAAGCTCGCCCTGTTACTTTTGAGCCAGTCTCCCTGGAAGGAACTTTAGAGGGCAGATCCCTTTATTACAGAATCCATTCAACCCAAGAATCATCCTGGAAGAGGTGGACTCAAACACACGTTTGTCTCATATGTTTTATCCCCACCTCTCTGCTCATTCTCAGGGTGGCTAAAACTTCAGATCTTTTAGTGCCTAGAATACCAAATCTATGGAGTACTGGTGAGGCACTGTGGGTTAATGCGCTGGATTGCAAAATTGGTTTGAACTGCAAAGTCGGCGGTTCAAGCTCCTCAGCTGCTCCTCAGAAACCCTATACTGGGTTGTTGTGGGTCTGAACAGACTCAACAGCACTTAACAACATAGAAACAGAAGGTAGATTTGTGCTTCCCAAGAAGGGAAGGGAGGGGAGGAAAAGGGGATTTACAGCTAATGATCATGAGGTTCCTTTTTTGGGGTGAAAGTTTAATAAATTATATTCTACTGATAGTTGCATATTGCATAACTCTATACTTTTTGTTAAGTGCCATCGAGTCCGTTCTAACTCATAGCAACCCTGCATAGGGTTTCCGAGGAGCAGTTGGTGGGTTTGAACTGCTGACCTCGTGGTTTGCAGTCCAGTGCTGATCCTATAGTACCACACCAGGAGTCCAACTCTATACTAAAAATCATTAAATTGTATAATTAAAACTGGTGGAGAACCAAAGACTTGAGATATTTTGGATTTGCTCAACTAGAGAAATAGAGGGTAAACGCCATGAAGCCCCTCACCCATGACTCACTGAGAAGAAAGTTAGCAAGCCAGTCACTTACTTGGTGGTAAGGATGTAAGTCTTGTAGTTACTGTTTCAGTGATAACTAGAAAAAGACAAAGAACAGGTGAGATCTTATGAAATGCACCAAGATCCCTGTGTTTTGGCAAGTACTAACCACATGGCAGTAGCTAAGCACATGACATGAAATTTAACATAGATTTTTGTAAACTTGTGCTTTAAGGTATGTGATGTGACCCGCTTTACATACAAATGTGTACAATAACAGTGGATGTTAATATAGCTGAAAGATAAATATGTATCCCTTTGGAACAAAAAGTTATTGTCCAGTGATTAGAAAAGTGAGTTGGCTTGGCTTGGTGTTAATGCCTCTCATTCAACAATTATATCCAGCCTTGTTTGATTTTGTTTGAGTCCCTCTATTTCTCTGCACTGCTTCTTCCAAATAGTCACCAACACACGTCATTCTGTCTGATCTCACCACAAAGCAGATAATTACCTTGCACTTCTTTAAGAATCTGGGGAACATCAGAATCCGTTATAAAATCTTGAGGGCCAGTCCTGACTGTAGGGAGATGTGACTAGGAGTGTGGGTAACGGGGAAGGGAGGTCTGTGTAAGTCACACTTGGTACTTGGTGAAATTAACAATGGGTGGACATTAAAACAGATTTGAAGAACTAGCCCCTTTTTGCCTCCAAAATTGAATTTCTCTAGATTGTGGTGATGGTGAATCTCTATGGAGAAAATCAAAGCATGAGGTAATTTTTAAACAACAAGTTAAAAGAAAAAACCTCTTGCCTTTCTGACTGACTCTTCAATCTGCCCTGCAGTAGCATGGGACTGTAGGTGGATTCCTAAAGCCAAAGGAAGCCCGGTTTTGTGCGCTGACTTTGACCATTACCACCACCATCACCCTCCCTCTCTGTTGGGCAAAGGAGCACCCATCTAGCTGTGCTTCTTCTGTGTCATCCCCACTTCTATTTGTATGTGCAGAGGCTACACACATGGGTGCTGCAAAGGGTGGTGGGAGGTGAAGGCAGTGATCATTTCAGGCCACTTTAAGCTGTGCTGTTTGTAACTGCTCCATAGCTCACTAGTCTGCTGCCTACCCTTCCTTCTTCATACTGCATTGCCCTACTTTGTTTATTCTTGCAGGAACATAAGGTGATGAACATAGTAGAATCAACATTCATTGCGTTAAAGGGAATGGTTCTTTAGGCTTAAAGTGGCTGTTTGATTTGAATAAAAGCCCTAGGCTTTCACTAAATCTCTCATCACACAGACCTTTGGGATTCTTTGACGCATAAAAAGAAATTATTTCCTCACCAAAAGTTCCAAGTCTGTGAAGCCAGATGTTATTTATTGGATAGATCAGGAAGTCACAGGGTGACTGAAATGTATTTCCTAACTTAGAGTATCTGGGAGGACAGTGTCAAGCCTCGGAATTTTCCAGGTGGATAGTTTCACAAAAGGAACGTGTCTGTCTTCAATTTTCAGTGTAGATTTATTATGACACTGGTGTTATTCCAACTTTGTGCCTGCTATAACTGGGATATTATACTTTGGATTTCTGTTGTCCTATATCCTTAAGTAGGGAACTATCTAAATGCACTGTGGTCGAATTCTTAGGTAGGATATTATACAGCCATTTAAAAAGCTGGTTATGGAAACATCACATCAAAATGGGAACCAGGTTTTATCTTAGTAGAGTAAGCGGAGTAATCACAGGGAGAACTGGACAACTGCTGTTATACGGAGGGGATTACAGTCACTGAAAGCAACCAAGGGTAGGGTTTGCTGAATGTAAAACTGATGTTCTGCCTTCACTCAATTCACAATAAAAAGTTAAAAAAGAGAAATAGAATACATTTTTATCACAGTCTACTAAAGTAAAAATCAATACAATTTGTTGTATAGAAGATAAGAGTCCATTTAGATAAACATTGAAAAGTGATACAGTAGTTGTGTTGCAACTATGAGCAATTTATTTACTGTGTTTCTGAATATTTCATTAATTTTATAATGAAACAATTATAAATGTTAAAAACTTCTGGTGGTCTTACTTCTTTCAGTGACTTCAGTGCCGTCTCGTTTGTTTTTCTTGGTTACATCCATACCATAGCCACCTGTGGGAGAAATCCAGAAACCATAAACAGCCGTGCCTCTGGCCATAGCTTTTAGTAAGAATGTGTTTCTACTTTACTAGCCCAGGCTCAGGAGTTTAATTACTAGAATTGAGTCAGACTCATTTCTTGTCATCAGTTATAATAGAGAATAATTTTATAGTTTCACTTTGGATTCTAGTTCTTGGTACTGGGATATCCCCCATCCTCCCAGATAGAATTGATCAGACTGCCCCCTGCTGAACATCAAAGGGATTTACAGAGCAGATAGAGTACTCAATCTTTGCCTATAAAACCTCCATTCTTTTCCAAGGTAATAAATATCAAAGGATTATCTGTCAAGGCACTTATCTAATTCATTTTAATATAGCCCATAATGTTCACTGTTCTATATGAAACTCTGTAAGTGTAAGACATGCATGTCTCATTATTTAGAGTTCAGATGCGATAACACTGATGGATTTGGGGTTCTGGTATGGAGCTGTAGCTATACCACTGGACTGCTAACCGCAAAGTCAGTAGTTCAAATACACCAACTGACCCTTAGAATTCCTATACAGGGTCGCTATGAGCCAGAACCAACTTGAGGGAACTTAACAATAGAAACAACACCACCAAAATCATGATGACGGTCACATTCTACATTAATTTAAAGGGGGCATCAATGGGTTGCACATTGGGCTTCTAACCACAAAGTCAGCAGTTCGAGTCCACCAGTCATTCTGCAGGAGAAAGTGGAGACTTTCTGCTTCTGTAAAAGTTTACAGCCTCAGGAACACTACATAGGGTCACTATGAGTCAGAATCAATTCGATGGTAGTGGGTGGGTTGTTGTTGTTGTTAGGTGCCATTGAGTCATTTCCAACTCATAGTGACCCTATGCACAACAGAACAAAACACTGCCTGGTCCTGTGCCTTCCTCACAATTGTTGTTACGTTTGAGCCCATTGTTTGCTGTCATTGTGCCAATCCATGTCATTGGGGGTCTTCCTCTTTTTTGATGACCCTCTACTTTACCAAGTGTAGGTATGTTACATTGGTATAAAACTTTATACGTCTTAAGGTATGAACCTTTTCTTTGCATAACAAACCTGCTCTAGTATGCTTACAAACAGACCTAAGTAAGTAAAATATCTGAAGACACTACATGCATGATCTAGAGAGATATATAGTATGATGCGTATTTATATGTGTTACCTATGTTCTCCCTTCATTCTTACTCCCCTTCTGGACAGGAAAATAATTGAGATCTTAGACATGTTCATTAACATGGTGGGTATGAGGAAGTGGAGGGTGTGTGGTTGTTAAGATTGAAATACACATGAAAGCACAACAAGATTTGTGGTCCCACAATTGGGATCTTTTTGGCTGTGGTGCCCAGTCCCAGAAAGACTTGAAATCCGGCTTTCCCTGTGATTCTCTCCTCCACTAGACTTCTGCACCTCCTACTTTATTTTTGGTGACAATTGAGATTAGATTAGAGATTCTGGGGGTCAGCCACTTCTGCCCAGTTAATTCCTTGCTCGAAGGTCTCTCTTCCAGTCTTTTCCCCCTGCCTGGTGACTTTAGGGCCAATTTGTCCATTAGGCACAGTTGGCACAATATGTAGGTCCATGATTCTTTAGGGTGCCCACAAATATGTTTTATTTATTTATTGTAAGCAGAAGGGAAAAAACATATAAATTGGATTATATTATTCTTTTTAGCCATGCAGTTTCAAAAAATAGCTTAAAAATAACACTTTTTTTTTTTTTTGATAGGGAAGAGGTCTGCAAAAGCAAAAGTGTCTAGTACCAACAGAAATTATAATGCAGCTCTGGGTGTATTCTCCACCCAAAGCCAAGACTCTAACACAACCAGCTAGCCAACTACCAGTGGAATTAACTAAGACTGACAAGTTCGCTTCAGGGCCTGGTTGAATGTGCCAACTTTTTGCTTATTGGTTTTTCTTAAATGCAGCTCTAGGCAAGGAATGAAATATCACGGAAAACCATTCTAACTGGATCTGGCCACAGGATCTCTTTAAAGGCGTGTTTCCTGGAACCAATAAGAGGGATTCCATAAACAGTTGAACAGAGGTGTCTAGTCTCATTAGAAGGTCATCTTGACTTTCCAATGGCTATAACTGGTGTAACAAGAAAACCAATCGGTCGTCATTTGTAGACCAGAAGGCAGTTTAGAGAATAGCTGTCTAAATGGGCCTGGTCTCTTGTAGGAAGTGACTAGCTCTCTAGATGGCACCTGAATTGATATGAATATTATCTTGAAAAGAACTGTTTATAAAAGTCCAGAGAAACTTTTAATTCCTACACGTTATCACTTATTCCAACCCTTCAATGAAAGCTGCTGTTGGCATCTGTGAATATGCAACTGGCCCTGGCTGGGTTTATTCCAGTTGTATCCAGGAAGGCTGACTGATGATAGCTCCGTTAGGTAGGAATCTCAATCCCCAGGCAGCAAACCTGGCAAGTGGGTTCTTGTTCTCTCTGCTTTCAGAAAAAGAATAGACATTTCTAGCCTTCCATCTTTGCTCTAAGTCCCAATGCTGGAACTGTAATTTCTGCAGCGAAAAGCCAAGGGTATCTCCATTTCCAGTGGAGAGGAAGAGAAATCCACTAAGAGCTTAGAGTTGCTCCTTCACAGTTCATAGGTTCCTCATTAGAAGCACCCTGAGGATGAACCTGCCTCAGACAGGTGGGCAGTTTACCTTTCTCTGAGTCCAAAGCCACACAAATGGCTAACATGTCCCAAGGCTATGCAGAATTATTTCACAGGATTTAAAATACAGAACAGACCTTGGTTAGCTTTGCCAAAGTCCTCAGACAGAATGATAGCCCGAGGTGGCAGTGATGTGTTGGGAAAATTCCTTTAAACCAAACATAAGAGAACACTTTCTATAAATGAGTTAACAAGTGAAGAATTATGGATTGATACACAAGCCTGAACTAGGCTCACCCTGGGGACCCAGGGTATTCCCACAGGACTTCCTTTTTAAGTATTTTAAGTGCTGGTAGTTTTTTCTAGTGTGACTGACTCTGAATTGATGTTAAGGAAGGGAAAGTTACTTGCCTAGGTACGTGCCTGAGCCTGCCTCTCCCTAACAGTATGCACCTTGGACTCGTCTTTCAAAAGTCTTATATAACAGAAGCACTGTCAAATACCATCATTTAAATGATAAGACCTCAACTTCTACAATGTTTGGACCACTTCACTAGAAGTCCCTCGAGCAGGTCATTCATTTACAAATTCTACAAATTTTCAGCTATGGTTTGAATGGGCTGCTTGATGGTTATTTCATATTGAATGCTTTTTGTAAGATTTTAAAATAATCCCATGTTGTTTTCTTATACACACATACACGAAGCCCACAAATTAAAACTTCTTTCCTATTTTCATATGTTTTTTCCCCTTTCTACTTTATTTAAATGGTTTACCAAAACGACTCAGATGATGATGTTGTAGGTTTATACACACACACAAACAAGGCAAATCATTATTGCTGATACTAAACCATCCCAGTGATCTCTTATTTTAATGACACATAAAACACTTAATTCTCCATACAAAGAAGAGAATGAAGAGGTTGTTTTCCTATTTTTTTTTTAAATTTTAAGAACAAATGCTCCTATACTCCTCTAAGGAATTACAAATAAATATTTTACTGCTCTTAGCACCCCAGTCTCTGTGCACTTCTAAATTTAAAAACAAACCAACCACAAAATTGCCAAGATGTGAACCAACCATCCACTGTCTAGGAACTGGATGACACTGAGGGCCAGACAGTCAGATAGCCCACAAAACCAATACTCTAGGGCCAATTGTCCCTGAGTCTTTTGTCTCTATGATATTCCAAAAATGGGTTTACCCACTTGCTACGTTTGGCACCTTTGATTTTCATGACTGGTGGGGAACAGGTCACCAGTTATGTGATTCTTGTGGCTTATTGATGATAGTTTGGGTTAAATCCTGTTCCCGATAACAATGGCAAATGAAGCTAACAATGTTGTCATAGACCATTTGGGTTAGAAATCATCTAAAAACATGGCACCAGCCATGTTAGGTTTGACCAGTTTCACTTATCCAAGGAGTTTCTATCCAAGTTAAAAGCAGGACCGACTGTTCACTCTAATTGTCCTCCTGTGAACTCTGACCACAGGATCCTGGAGTCAAGCAGGTCCCTCCAAGTCCTGAAGGGTGTCTGTCAGAAGCTGGACACCTTTTTAAGTTTTGTTCAGACTCAGATTTTTTCCCTCTTAAAAATTTGTTTCTTAGCTCTAAGATAAGATATACTGGGGCATATAATTATTTTTGAAATCTTTTTATTTTCATGGCCTTTAAAAATGTTCATGGCTTTCTATGGACATGAATCCAACTATTAAGCTACTGTTGGATTGTTTTGTCAACAGAAGTGATGTGTCTGAAACTTTCTTTGCTAGAGGTAGCAGTTCTTTCCCATTGAGCAGTGACTGGTGTCCAGTTAGATACCCTAGCTGGTAGTTCTTACCCCAGAGGGATATCTTTTGGTTCACAATAACAGTCAGAGTTTGTACATGGACACATTTTTCTTTCCCTTTTTCTCTTCTTCCAAGTTTGACTTCAGGGGATTTCTAGACTAATTGTTCCAAAGATTCAACTCTATGGAGCAGTAATTTTAGAAGGCAGTAAACACCAGTGTTTGCCCTGCCCCTTCAGCTTAATCAAAACTGCCAGCACGGAGGCCTGTCTGCACTGAACCCATCTCATCGCCCAGTGGAGGCTTCTAAGAGGCTAGCTCAGACCTCTGTTGTTGTTGTTAAGAGCTGTTGAATCAGTTTCGACTCACAGCGATCCTGTATAGGATTTCTGAAGAGTGGCTGGTGGATTTGAACTGTCGACCTTGCAGTTAGAAGTCTGGTGCTTATCCTACAGAGCTATACTTCTTGATGCGGTTATTAAGTGCTGTTGAGTTGGCTCCAACTCATAGCAACCCTGTATAGGGTTTCAGAGGAGCACCTGGTGAGGTTTGAACTGATACTAGGACCAGATTAATTTCACCTCTGAGCTGTCCTCTACTTACAAGTGGGAAGAGGTATGCTGAAGGGGAGAGTAAGGGAGAGGGATAGAGAGGCTGAGACTAGAGAAAAGGAATCTTAAGTCCTTTGCATCTTCTAAATAAAACTAAGTCATTTTATAATACACACCTCACTCAGAAAAAAGAAATCTTGCCATTATAGTCCACTACATCATCACTGGCCTTGTCCTCTCTCCTATCCCCTCCACCCCAGTGATGGATCTTTAATTGTTTTCCTTTGAAAGGTACACCCTAAACCGAATGCACCACCCAAAGTAAACCTTTTTGATCAATTAATCAAGTCAATCAGAACTCTTAAAACTTAAGAACCTTCTTATTTTCTCCAATGAATATTTTAAGTTCTAAATGGCAAACTTCAAATCAAATCTAGGAAAAAGGGAGAAAGGTCAAATCCTCCTGTTACTTACCTAGCCTGAGATTTTTGAAGGAATGAGAAATGCCTTTGGATAAATCCCTCCTCTCTCTTTCTTCCCCTGATGTTTTCTCCCAGAAGTTTTTCAGCTCACACTTTTTTTATCCAGACCCAGCTAAGGTGTGTTAAAGCTGAGTGATCTTTCAAAAATGTTCACTTCTCCTCCTCTCCCCTTGTTTCTTTCAGTTCTTTGCTTCCAAACAAGTCCTGACAAAGGTGTGTCATGGTTTACAGAGCTACTCCACCCTTCCAATTATCTGACACTTGGTGGATTTAAAAAAATATCTGCCTGCAGGAATCAAACTTTACAAGAGACAGAATGCTTCTTCTACCAGGTTGGGTAGATTAACCATTTCATTTATGGATCCACCCAGATAAAGAACAAAGGTTCAGCACATAGGAAATGCCTTTTTAACTACTTATCTTCTGTAACCCTCACGGTCAGCAGTTCGAAACTACCAGCTGTTCTGTGGGAGAAAGATGAGGCTTTCTACTCCCATAAAGATTTACAGTCTCGGAAACTCTGTATAGGGTCACTAAGAGTCAGAACCGACTCCACGGCACATAATCACAACAACAAAAACAACAATCTTCTGTAGCTGAAGAATTGTCTCAACTTGGTTTTCCCCTTCTTTGGTATCTTGGAATACTCAAAGTCCCAGTGTCCGTAAATCATGATGTATATATGTATTTAAACCAAAGTACCTGAGCCCTAGACAAACTGAGAAATTGACAGGATTTATATTCAAGATCAAGGAGCCCTGGTGGCATTATAGGATAAACACTGGACTGCTAACAACAGGGTTAGCAGTTCAAACCCACAAATCACCCTGTAAAAGAAAGAAGAGGCTTTCTGATCCTGTAAAGATTTGTAGCCTCAGAAAATCTCTACAGGATCACTATGAGTCTGAATCAAATTGATGCAGTGGGTATATTCAAGATCGGTTTCACTGTACCTTCTCTTTCCATTATTCTGACCCATAACAGATCAAGGCCATGTGAAGAAAACAGTTGAAGAAGAACTAACTCGTAATAAAATGATAATGACTGAAAATTGGTGGGGTAGTGTTGCCTAAGAGCAGCTAATGGCTTTGAACTACACATCTTGTGGTTCAAACCGACCTTGCAATCCAGTACTTATCCTACAGCACCATACTAGGACTCCATAGTAACTCTAAAAGGTGTGTTGTTGTTAAGTGACATTGAGTCAGTTCCGACTCACAGGAAAACCTGTATAGGGTTTCCAAGGAACAGCTGGTGAGTTTGAACAGCATACCTTGTGGTTCAAACTGACCTTGTGGTCCAGTGCTTTATCCCATAGCACCCCACCAGGACTCCAGGAGGCGAGTATTATCTTCATTTTACCCCTGAAGAAACTGAAATTCAGACAGGTTGAGAATCAGGCCAAAGCCTTCCACCTAACAAGTGGCAGAGTCTATATTTCACTTGATTTTTGAGCACTCATTTCCCTATGTTTTGTGAATCATTAGAATATAAGTATATCTATATCTTGAACTAAAAAAAAATGTTGTTGCTGTTAAGTGCTATCGTGTTGGTTCTGACTCATAGCAACCCTGTATAGGGTTTCTGAGGCTTTAAATCATCAAGGGAGGTTTTCAAAATAAAATCAGGCTGACAGCAAATGAAAACTTCAGAACTAAACCCATGTGAATGGTGGGGATGTTTTCACTTATAAGCACTATGGTGTTGGCATGATTGATGGATTATTTTAGATGGATATCTACCCACTAAAACTCGGAAATCATAAACCAATGTGGTGCTGTAGGATAAGCACTGGAATGCAAGGTTGGTTTGAACTGAAAGGTTCAAACTCACCAGCTGCTCCTTGCAAACTCTATAAAGGGTTGTTATGAGTCAGAACCAATTTGACAGCACTTAACAACAACATATAAAACCAAACATGCTGAGCAACATTTACTTGGAATCAGCATTTTCTCTTTTTTCTCCCCTTGGGTTCCATATTGGTATTCCCCAAGTACACTGGGAAACCCCGTTGGTATATAAACCCAAAAGTAAACTAATCCTGAACCCTCTAAGCTAACTCAATAGCTAGGAGTGCATGTTTGTGCATGGTCATGCTCTTGCATATTTTTAGATGGATATATGGATATAGTTTATAGAACTTTGTGCTAGGCACTTTAGGGGAAGGAAAAAAGTAAAAAGAATTCAAATGTTAACAATCTAGTTACTTGGTGTTCAGAGTTTATTATGCTTGACAAAACCAAGCATAGTAAGCCTTAACCTGGTACCTGGAGTCAAAGAAGCCTCAAGCTTCTTCACCACTCAGGTATTCAATTCATACCATATGTCTGATACTAAGGCACTTGCCATTTAAATTGTAACGAAATCAGAAAACCGTCAGATGCTCACTAAAAGGAGAGAGCAACAAGTCAGATTTTAGGAGATAACAGTGACTAAGATACCCAAAGGGTGTTTCTTGCTTCCTGCCGGAACTGAGCTGTGTTAGTGAGTCACATTAATCAATTTTTGATTGACTAGGCATTAAGTTTTCTTAAAAGGCTACTGAAAAAGTATTCATCCTTCTAGAATCATCTACTGACTTTCTAGTAGACTGAGGAGGAAGGATGTCTATTCCTGTAGAGCCTAGTTGGTACCAATGATCGGACTCGCATCATAAACACAGGTGGACCTCACTTTATGTGGCTGATGTGCTCTGTAAAGCAATTGGTCCATCCAGGTTTTGGTGAACAGAGTGAATGTTTTTGTCACATGACTTCATTAACCATTGCAAATGCAGATTTTTTTCTTTCTTTTTTTTTTTTTTTTTGTTGAAACCCTATCGACAGGTTTCTATGTACTCAGTGTCCTTCCTCCCACAAAGTGGTGTCACATGATAATGATGTAACATACTCAGGACTCTTTCTTCCAGAAATCCACATGTGCCTTCTTTTACTGAGAGACAATAAAAAGTAAAATTCACTGAGAAAGATGTAAGAAAAAATATTCCTTTACTTAGTAAGGGTTGATTTCCTATATTTCTAGAAGGGTTGATTCGGATCTTTTATTGGACTGGGAATCAATTGCTTTCTTTTAAAAAATTAATGAACAAAAACCTAATTGTCACATATTAATATAAATACAATGATTGTGTGGCATAGTTCACATAGCTAGCTATAAGGCCAGAAAACCATACTTGTCCCTGTCTTTCTCTTTAGTTAGCCTTTGTTCCTGGATAAGATGACTTCCCTGTCAACAATTAGGACAACAGCACATGCCACTGCTTATGAAGCACTTTGATTGTTGGAAAGATGGAGCTGAGAATTAGCCAACTCCTCCCCTCCACATGTAAGCAGAAGGTCTCCTGCATTTCCTGTCTCTATTGCTTCTTGATTCAATCAACTGTAGTCTTTGCTTCCGTTATTATAATAACAAAATAGACTGGTTTCTTTTCTTCGACTTCCAACTTTAGATCTATTAATTCCATTATCCACATCCATAAACAACTCTCTATTAGAAGTCATCAAAAATGAAATGGAATGCATAAAGATCAATATTCTAGGCATTAGTGAGCTGAAATGGACTGGAATTGACCACAATACCAAAAGGTCTCAGATAATCAAAAGGTTTACTGTGTAAGGAATGATAAATTGAAGAGAATGGCATTGCATTCATCATCAAAAAGGGCATTTCAAGATCTATCTTAAAGTACAATGCTGTCTGTGATAGGATAATATCCACACACCTACAGGGTAGACCAGTTAACATCACTATTCTTCAAATTTATGCATCAACCACTAAAGCCAGTGTGATAGTTAAGGTTTGTGTCAACTTGACTGGGTCAGGATTCTCAGTGGTTTGGCAGTTGAGATGTAGTTATCCTGTATGATGAGATTGATATAATGTAACCAATTCATTGATGAGGTCTGTTATGAGCAGCAATCAACTGAAGGCAAGCTTCCCCAGAGGTATGGCTTGTTTCCAATATATTGGATATTCAGGCAAAGCTCGCTGGGTCTCTACTTACATCTGGATCATCCTTGGACCTCTGGTTCTTTGGACTTGGAGCCAGTGGCCTGCTCTATTACTTGTCGATCCTAGAAGTCACCATCAGTCTGCTTTCTTACCTGCCTGCCTTCTTGTCATATGACCTGCTAATCTTTGTTCATCAGTCCTGCAACTCCTGAGTTAGAAGCCTCCAGCCTGATATCTAACCACATCTACAACTTAAGTGAGCCATTTCCTTGATACAAATCTCTCTATATACATATATGGAGTCCTGGTGTGGTGCTGTGGGCTAATGCGCCAGACTGCAAAGCTGTTTGAACTGCAATGTTGGTGATTCTAGCTCACCAGCTGCTCCTCAGAAACCCATACAGAGTCACTATGGGTCAGAATCGACTTGATGGCACTTAACAACAAAATAAACTGGTTTTGCTTCTCTAGAAAATCCAGTCTAAGACAGTCATGATGAAATTGAAGAATTCTACCAACTTCTTCAAACAAAAATCCTCACCACTGGACCAATAAACAGCATTCTTAT